ACTGACTGTATAACACACAGATAATGTATAATAAACAGAAATATAATATAATATATACAGGATGCATAGGCTGCCACATCTGTTACCAACACAGCCACACCACTGACAAAGTTCTATGTGTATAACATATAAAATAATGTATTTTATTACATTTTCAACAGTGAAATACTGTGATTTATTTATTGAATAAAAGTGATATTCTCTCACAGTGTGAAAGGATACATAAATGATATTCTCTCACAGTGTGAAAGGATTATCAAAGAAAGTAAAAAATAATTTTTGGCCTGTCATAAGATTGAGATAGTAACTAAGCATCTTGATAGAACTAAACCTGCAAATTTCTTCCCAAATATGTTGCTAAAATCCATGCTATGTAATGTTTTCAATCACACAACTGCTAAGCTATGACGTCTCAAACGCTCAACTATGACGTCAAGCCTATGACACTGTGTTAAGAAAAGACAGAGGCAAAATCGAAGAAAATGTAATAAACAGAAAATTCAATGTTTTGTAGATGAATATGGAATTTATTTCACTCGTGAAAATATCAAAAAATCCTGTTCCACTCGTGAAATAAATTCCATATTCATCTACAAAACATTGAATATCCTCTATATACAATAAACAGAAATACAGTGAAACTTGCCTAATCCAGATATTGTGTATTTCAAAATCTTGCCTGATATGATGTAATCTTTAAAGCCCTATCAGTGAATTCACTTGTGTCATATGATGTCTAACCTGGAATGTTGTCCAATCCAGCCAATTTCTCTGGTGTCCGAATTAGACAAGTTTTACTATATATTATATATTCGCCTATAAGTTTGTTTTTGGGAGTTAAACTTTGGTCCAAAACTCTTTATCCGATTTACATGTATATGCAAGTTATAAAAAGACTGGTATTTTAGCGGGTCAATCCCTCTAATTTAAGCTTAAAAAATACAACCGACTTAAAGGCAGACCGACTTTTAGGCGAGTATATACGGTATATTCACAGGCTGCATAGGGTGCCACATTTATCAATGACACGGTGACACCACCAACAACTATCTGTATAATCTCCGTATAACACACAAAATATGATATAATAAACAGAAATATAATATACATACAGGATACAAAGGATATCACATATATGTTACCATGCAACACAGCAACACCAGTATCTATATAAGTAACACACAATGCAAGAGACCCATGGGCCAATTTAAATTTTATACCTACAGAGACAAAAATTCTTAATATGAAAGTGCATGACTGTGGTACATATGATACATCTGTCTGGAACTCCATGATCCATGATTATTCACCTCACCCTCTAGATGCATCAACTCACCAGATTTTATGGACCTAGGCCTAAAAGAGCAAGGGCCACTTAGGGTCTTTTCTGGCCCTGTAAATTTCTGAAAAATGAAAACTGCATAGTTTTAGTCGACAAGGCGATAAATATCACTAGAACACTTGGTGACTGAATTTCTACTAAAAATGACATAATTTTATCGCTAGTTAATGCATTATGACGTCAAGATTTGCGTCATTATTCACATATCCCGAATATTTCTTCAAAAATGATCAAAATATGATGCTATTTTTCAATATTTCGTATACAGCACAACCTCCGATCCAAAATGTGCAAACAGTTGGATGATTGTAATAAGCATTGAGCCCTCTACCAAAATTGTGAAATTCATGGCCCCATGGTCAGGGGTTCTGCTGCTAGGGCGGGGCTTTATAATTCATATAGTGAAAGTGCATTATTTCTTTGAAAATCTTCTTCTCTACTCCTGGGTATTATTGAAACAAATTAAATACATAGTTATGATAAGCCAGGATGCCTCTTCCAAAATTGTGAAATTCATGGCCCCGGGGACAGGGCTTCTGGTGCTAGGGCGGGGCTATATAGATCCTATAGTGAAGGTGAATTATTTCTTTGAAATCTTCTTTCCTGCCGCTGGGTATTATATAAACAAACAAAGTACATTGTTATTATTAAGCAAGGATGCCTCTTCCAAAATTGTGAATTTCATGACCCCAGGTTCAAGGGTTCTGGTGCTTGGGGGGGGGGGGGGGGGGCTTCTATCGATTATAAAGTGTAAAAGCAAATTTTCTTACAAAATATTCTTTTCTGCTTCTGGTTAAAAACCTAAGAAGCTAAGTGTATAGTTATGATGAGCAAGAGTGCTTCTTCCAGAGTAGTGAATTTCATGACCCCTGGGTCAGATGTGCTGGTGTAAGGGTGGGGCTCTTGATAATAGAGTGAAAATGCATTAATTCTATTAGATAATCCTGTTTGCTCCTTAGTGTTAAGCAGATAAACAAAGTGATTACTTATTATGAGCAAACTTATGGTCCCAGGGTCAGAGGCTCTGGTGTTTCTTGGGGGGGGGGGGGCTCTATTGATAATATAGTGAATCTTTAGTAAAAATGCATTATTTCTTTAAAAATCTTCTCTGCACCTGGGCACATCTGAGGCAAACAGAGTAAAAGTTTTTATAAGGAAGGGTATTTTTATTAGATTTTTGAACATCTTGGACCATTTAGTTAAGTGTTCTGGTCCTGGCCAGGCTGTATTAATTTGTATTCTACTGAAAGGAGTTATTCCCCTTTGCCATTTACTTTAGATAATTCAACACCATAATTAATGTACGTGAAAGGCAAATAGAAAAAGAGAATTATGCAAGAATTCTTATTGTATAATACAGAAAGTACTTTCATAGTTTTAATGATCAGGTAGACTTGTAAGTGGTAGATAAATAAAAATGAGACAAAAATAACTGATTATATGTTCATCAAATACCAAGAGAGGCCAATGTTAGAGATTTCATGAAGAGAATAAAATAGTACAGAAGCATTGATAATTTGTTAATATACTTTATAGTGATACAGTAAAACTCGATTAGTGCGAACACGGATATAGCGAATTCATGGATATAGCGAAGTTTTCTTGGATCCCCAGCTTTATAAATTTTACGAATTCCTTATACGAATATAACAAATTAAGGATATAACGAAGTAATTTCACAGGTCCCAGTGACTTCATTATAATTGTAGTGATAAATGGGGAACAGGTTAGAACCTAATATTAATTTTATATGAACTGTTAATGAATATTAAGACTAATTATTTTGTTGATCCTGATCAACCTATTTTTCTTGCTTTTGGGCAAGAAAGCTTCACCTTTCAGTTTATTTTATACTCTGTGCATCCTTTAAATTGTTGTATTATACTTAGTGACCGTTAAGGCCCTTGGGCCTCTTGTTCAAAATATGATTCCAACTCAATTAAACTAACAGCAGAATGATCTAGCTTTTAATCAAATTGTGACACCTTCACCCTCCGCTCAGGATGCAATTAATCTGACACTGATAAAGGCTAGGAGTTCATTATTTTAAAAGTGGTATCAACCTACCTCTAAGGAGAGGTGGCCATGATTTGAACAAACTTGAATCTACACTAACTGAAAATGCTTCTATATTTCTTTGACAAATCATGGCTTCAGAAAATTTTAAAAGATTTTTTCCTACATGTTTTATCTTCTATTGAGACAACGCCCTACCACCAGGGATCATAATTTGAACAAAATTGAATCTACACTACTTGAGGATACTTCCACATAAATATGACCAATTATGGCTTTGCTGTCCTTGAGAAGAAGACAGCTAGACAGACAGACAATGGACAAAATGTGATCAGAGAGCTTTCAGCTCAGGTGAGCTAAAAACTTCATTTATAATGTTCAAGATAGAATTTATGGTAAGTTACATAACAAACCTCTAGTGTAGCTCTTTTAATGCTAGAACTGAGTAGTTCCCCTTGGTGTTTAATCAGACAACTCCTGACAGGTTGTAATTAAATTCACATAAATATAACGTTTGAAGGAATAAAAAAAATTCACTAGCCGTGAAAATTGATTGTTTCAGAGACAACTTTGCTGATATTTAAAGCCAAAATATATTCTAAAAGAATTCAATTTTCTAATCATGGTACATGTATAGGTATAGCCACTTGAATTATATATACACAATATTAATTGTGGCATTAAAAAAATCTCAATTTCCTATTCCTGTTCGAAGACAACAGTAAACTAAATTAAAATTCTGTTTATGAGCCCATACACTGGATAAAATACATATATGTACAGCAAAGATAAAAAGTTCATCTTCAGAACCTTTTTTATAATAAGTAACCAGATACTCAGTTGTAAAATGGACTAACACACAGGTAGGGCTGGAACGATACAACTTTTTCAGTATTGATATGTATCACGATATTTGAGCCACGATACGATATGTATCACAATATGTTTAATTAGTTACATTTTTTTTGTATTGAAATGAACAAAACATTTCCTCACAAAAAAGAATAATTTATTCAAAGAAGTTGTATATTTGTTGTAAAACAAAATTATTTTACACAAGTGGTGTTAATTATTATAATGTATTTCATATTTATATTTCTTATATATTAAACCCAAAATGTTATATATTAAACCCAATATGTTAAGTTAACAAAGCAAAACATGTCAAAGTTTTGGGCGATATTTCGATATTTCTTCATACATATCAATATGCGTATCGTTCTCACAGAAAATCGGTATCATCGATATCTCTATATATCGTCCAAGCCCTACTCCTAGGTTACTTACTATAATTACATTTACAACCAAAATTCTAAGATTTTCTTTCTTTTTTCCCAAATTTACCTTTTTTGCCAATATATTAATGGAAAATAAAATTAAAATCAAGTTTATGTCAAATAAAACATTTGGAATGGACACCTCTCTACATAGTTTGTAGATAGATTAGGATATTATATACATGTATTATCTAAATTACAATTATTGTTTAGCATATTTAGAAGGTAACTTTGTCAAGCTGTAAGATATAAATACCCTCAATAACTTGCAGATATACAGTCTATTTAAATCATGTGACCTGAAAGTAGGTCAAAATCTAGAACCAATACCAGGAAGTTGTTTGTCTCTATAGCTACCTAGGAAGGCCATCTTGAAATAACAGGTGAGACACTATAACTATTTCATGCTTTGGATGTGTTATTCAGCAATTGTTTCTCTTTAAAGTTCAAAGATTGATATTATGTTCATTCTTATAATATTTTTGATAATTAAATGTCTTGAAGTGCTGCGTGAAGCCCTGAAGAGCTGTCTGTAATCATGTATTATCTTTTCCTTTCAACACATTTAACAAATTTTTGTGCTCATCAGACCTGGGGTAATGGTAATGTGTAATGGTAATGTATTGTAATCATTACATTTTTTCAAAGTAATTGGGTGTAATGTGTAATGGATCCATCTTTCAATTACAAGTAATTGAAAAGTAATGCATTACTTTCAAAAATGTCAGTAATGACCAATAACTTTTCAATTACATTCAATTACATTTTGTTTTTAATCTCTATTTATTATTATATCTGGAACAAATAAATAATGGTCACTGTGAGTTTTTTTTTTAATATATTATGTTAGAGACTAAAAAATAAAATCCCATAGCTTACCATTTTTTAAAAAAGTTTATTCAATGGTGATTGATAGACATGCTAAAAATGGCGATTGATAGACATACAAAATTATTGTTTTAATAGAAAACTTCTTGACAAGACAGTTATAAAATCAATTGAGGAGAGCCAGAAAAAATATTAAAAGAAATCATTAGGTTTCATTAAAAGAAATCATAAGGTTTAAAAGAATTTAGCCACGAAACAAGTGAAATTAAGTAAGAGTCACCTCAAAATTCAAACCCTATATCTAGGTACTGGTAATTATCACCTTTGGTTGTGTTAAATTTATGGCTTCATCGATTATGTCTGCTCAGATGTGCTAATTAATTCATTAAATTATTAATACATACTCATTTTTCAATTATCGCATAATCTGTTACACATAATTAAAGATCACTTTTATACATAAAACATATAGTATGAAATGTTTATCATGTATTTAAAAAAATAGAGGAACTAACATCAGAGACTGAACAAAACTTCAACATTGAAAGTGTTCCTTTCCATTTTCTTTGTAAACTGTAGATTGGTAAACCACAAGAACATGATGAATGAATCCAAAATCCAAATACCACTCTGACGTATAGACCTGAGAGAAAGCATATTAACCGAGCACAAAGTGTGACAAAGTTATTTTATAGTTAGAATTGTTTGGTCATAAAATTTGTGTTTTTTTTCTTATAAAATGTAGTGTGTAATGTAAATCATTACTTTAACAAAGTAATCGAATTTAATTAATTACTTTTCTGAATAAGAGTAATGGTATTGGTAATTGTGATGGTAAAAATTCCAAAGTAATTGTAATTTAATGCATTACATTTCAAAGTAACTGACCTAAGGTCTGGTGCTTATTTAATTAGTGTCCAAAAATGTTTGTCCTTCATACTCTCTTTATTAAGTACAATAAATAATACACAATATTATAGGATCACCTTCATCAAGTGACTGACACACCTATAATGGACTCCCGACACAGTGCCCAATACATCCTCCTCTGTGACCTGTGTCAAACAGCTGCATTACAGAGTCATTGTGAACTTTGTCATGTAAATCTCTGTATAGTCTGTGTAGGAAAACATCTCTCTGATTCATCTACAAGACACAATGTTTTACCATACTACCCAAAATGTCCAAACCATACACAGAAACATTGTGAACTTTACTGTGAGAAATGTGACATTTCTGTCTGTTCTACCTGCATCTCCTCTGGGAAACATAAAGGACATGCATTATCTGATGCTCTCAAGAAAACAAGTTCAAAAAGAAATGAATTACAAAAAGACTTAAAAGAACTAGAGGAAAAAATTTATCCTACATATGAAGAAATTAAATTAGATTTAAAAACTGAAAATGTCAGCTTGGAAAAACATTACGAGAAACTGACACCAAACAAGGAAAAGACTGGCACAAAGAAATTAACATCATTGTCAACAAACAGAAATCTGAAATTGATGAGATGAAAACTAAACACCTGGCTGCTCTACATAAACAGGAAAAAAGAAATGAAACAGATTGCTTCTGATGTAAAACACAGCATACTTGATCTAAAGAAAATACTGGACTCCAATGAAGTCTCCCTTACCTCTGCATACAAATCCAGAAATGTTGAATTCAGAAGTTTACCTCCTAAAGTCAATGTTTCATTACCAAGTTTCTTTCCTCATCAGATCGACAAAGAACAGCTCCATCAAATGTTTGGTTTTCTGTCAGCATTATCCATTACAACAGAGGAACATGGCTACACAATGAAGACACCAGAAGCTATATCCTTTCCTCCAGTCAAACCACTGCTTGATGAACCAGAGCTCATCACCACCATAGACACTGGTTATGACTTACTATGCAGTGTTACCTGTCTCAGTGATGAAGAAATCTGGACATGTGGGAATGACAAGATCATGAAACTCTACAACCTCCAGGGTAAACTACTGAAGTCAATCAAAACCAAGTCAGTGAAAAAACCATGTGACATAGCAGTGACAGGGAGTGGAGATCTAGTTTATACTGACTCTGATAGAAGAACTGTAAACATAGTGAAGAATAAACAGATACACAAAGTGATCAGACTACAGGGGTGGAGACCTTACCATGTCTGTAGTACCTCCTCTAGTGACCTCCTGGTTACCATGGTCAGTGATGATGATAAACAAACAAAAGTTGTCCGTTACTCTGGCTCCACAGAGAAACAAACCATTCAGTTTGATAGTGAATGTAAACCTCTGTATTCATCTGGTTACTGTAATAATGTTAAACACATCAGTGAGAACAGGAACCTGGATATCTGTGTAGCTGACAGTGGAGTCAGCGCAGTAGTGGTGGTTAATCAGGCAGGAAAACTCCGATTTAGATACACTGGTCATTCCACTACTACCAGGGAATCATTCTATCCAGTCGGCATCACAACATACAGCCAGAGTCAGATCCTGACAGCAGACCATGACAACTACTGTATTCACATCCTAGATCAGGATGGACAGTTCCTCCGTTACATTGATAACTGTGATCTACAGCATCCATGGTGTTTATGTGTAGACACCAGAGACAACCTCTTTGTGGCAGAGTGTATGAGTGGTAAAGTGAAGAAAATCAAATACACATAAAAGATCCATGCAGTGACTGAGAATTACCATGTCTGTTTTAACCATCAATAAGTGAAGTGATCATGACATAAACATATCATGAAACACTGTATGAATGAAATATGAAGACAACGAACAGTACTCAATCTCCAAAGTCCAATGAAACGATACAAATTTGGAGCAGATTAAAAACGGACCTCAAAATTTAGAGGCGGAATCAGGTGCCATGGAGGAGTGGGCATCCCCTGCCAACTGGTCACACCCGCCACGTGCTCCTTGTCATGATCGGAAAACCCCCCCTGAAAAATCCTAAGACAGTTCTGTGTATAAATAACGGCACAACAATAAGTATGAAAAAAGTCAGTCGGCATTTGACTCAATGATAGGTTGTATGTGCTGACAAGTTCATCGTATCGATCGTAAACCTTACGAAATGATGACTTCAAACGAGACTGTTGATATCCTTCTTTCATCAACTTGTTTATCAATATCTTGCCTCGTTTTAGAAATTGTTCATACGTAGAGCATGCTCTTGCGTATCGAATCAACTGAGCGACATATCATAAAGCTTTGTTGTTAGGTTACCATTAACATCTTTTTTCTAGTAAAATATCTAAATATGAAACAGATGTGTTAGAATCTGTGGTATCTTTTATTTCAAGCTCACTGGGATATATCGAGTCGACATATGAATAAAAGTAACTATTGTTAATTGATAATACATTTTTGATATATCGAAATATCGAGTTGAAGGTCACAGCAAGTGTTTTCTTCTTCTCATGTAGAAGTTTTTGAATAAATTCTGCTTCATATGAATACAAAAATACGCAGCACAATTAAGGCTACAATAAGGAGGCGGTGCCTAATTTATACGGGAAATGCTTACTATGACATCACTCAAAAAAGTTCTTCAAATTATAACAAAATGAAATGATTTGCTATTTTAAACTGTTGGAGAGCTTTAAAGTACATCAATACTATCTACTGCATGCATTTTTGTCGTTGATTAAACCCCACACAGCTATATAAAACAATTCAATGATCGTAATGCACTTGACAATGTGACGTCATATCGTAAAATTTGACGCAGTTTGTATGCAGTGAGTTATAAATATTTTATACAATGAAAAATCTATTTTTATTTTAAATATAATTAAATATTAATTAAATATTATTAGAGGCCATTAATTTGGATGCGATGTCTATTTTATGATTTTATTCATAAATTTCCCATACATTCCCTGGACAAACGATACTGCCGTATATTTGTATACAGATTCATGAAAGGGTAATAGAAGGGTCTTAATAAATCGATATATTGCAAGGGCATACCCTCAATAAATTATGACATTCTTTTATACATAAACTCAAGAAGTATGAAGATATTTGAAAAGTTCTGCGAACCTGATGAAATCTTGCAATTGAATTAATTAGATCTATATTTAATGTACTTGACCAGCAAAATATTCAACATACGGTCTAACAAATGTAATTTTAGCAATTAGATAGTAGAATCTACATAGGATCGCAGCACTTTTCACAAACTACAAAGAATGTTGAAAATAATTATAAATTATTAACTTGGATATTAAATATATAAACTTGGTTATGCCCTTGCAATATTGGAATTTATAGATGATCTAAATACTTCAGGTATATTTGCTAAGATCACATGACTGCCACATCACGTGGCAAGTCTAAATAAGAAATCTAATAGTCCTCAACATTTAGTTTTCAACCACATTGCATTTGTTCGATAATAGTAAAGTCCTTAAAAGAATCGCCCATCCTTGTAAAGAATGTATTTTCTATCTTAAAATTCGCCGATATTTCCATTTGGCACCTTAACTGTACTGCGTAGGTCTGCTAAAAAGGGGGTACAATTGGAGCCATGGGAATTCCAACAGATTGTGGGAAGATCT